TCATAAAAGTTCTTATTGCCAGGAACACGGGAGGAGGGTGACGGGGTGGGGTGTCATCATACTATCGTGCCAGCATCTTTGCTATCTTTTCTCCTCCCCTCTATTCCGTATCGCCAGCGCCACATCGTGGCGCGCGGGCCTCTCGGCGATGAGGAACATTGTCTGCGGCCGGGGGCTGAAACTGACCCTAATGAATTGGGTTTGTCCTCTCGCCTCGCACTTGTCGCTGCCGGCCCCACCCCTCCCCTGTGTGTGTACATGGCGGCATAAGGGCGCACTGTTAAATCCCTTGCAAAGGCTTGATCTGGAGAAACAACACAATGTTGAACATTATACGGTGTGTAACTTACTTTGCCCATGCCCGCCCACTACAGAATCTACACCAACGATGAATGAATGATGAAGCTGCATTGTGCATTTCCAAACCGTTTTTAGTTTACACACCTACTGACTTACAAACTTGCTAACCAACAACGTGCACATTATTTGAATTTGGATAATTGACTTGCAAGATTGATACAATTGCTTTACTACAGGGTACCGTCCTGGTTATACTGCACCGGATGGAGGCGAGCGTGCGGGCTTGCCTACCGAGGCTACAGCCCCGAGCGAGTATGCAACTCGTCCACACGTCTGTACCCGATGTGTGGTGTCAGAGGAGAGAACGGCGCCGATGGACCACACCGGGACTAATTTATCCTCCAGTAATCATTATCGTAGACCAGACCAAACAGAGCATTATTTACAAAACTCGGCGTTGTTGACATTTTGCAGAGCCTGTAAGTAGCGTAACGTGAGCGGGGGTCACGGCTATTCCAAGATTGGACTGGGTGTGATTTGGCGCGTGATCCTCGCGCGCACCCCTTCCACCACGGGGGATGCGCGGGATGCAGATGTGAGTCGCACTTTAAATTCTCGCCGGCGTTCTACACGGGTGTCGAGTCGCGGCTGCTTCCGCGTAAACGTCTTGTCCCCACGACGGCGTCGCGCCGCCCTCTCGGACACGGCCCGGACGTGACGTTTCAACGAGCTCTCCGATTATTCTCTCGCTGCGTCTCTCTCTCTCTCTACACTTCCCTCTCCCTCCCTCCCTCCCTCCCTCCCTCCCTCCCTCCCTCACCTCTCTCTCCATCCACCCCCTCCTTCCTCCCGCTCTTGTGTGTGTGTGTTGCCTCAAAGGGGGTTGCGTGTCCTGCGCGGCCAGAGGGTGACAGCAGCATGGCCCCCAGTGAAAGGGGTGCGTTGGTCCCAAATAGGCTGCGTGCCACTGCACTTTTCACTCCTCCCTCGCCGCCCGTCTAGTCGTGTGCTCTCCGTGTGGCGGACGGGCCGGGCTCTCCGCGAGGCGCGCAGCCACACATTAATTTTTCGCGCGGACCGGTCGCGGCGTCGAGATAAATCACGCGTGCATTAGGCCCTGCGCCGCTGCCGCTGCCGCCGCCGCTCGGCCGATGAGTCGCAGGGGGAGCGCGGAGGGGTCGCCGCGCACGTCCGAGCGGCCCGCGCGGGTGTGAACGCCGAGCCGAGTCACCATCTGTATGCAAATGCTGGCCCTGCCATGATTTGTGTCTCAATCCGGTCCACGACGATGCGCGCGCGCTGACCACCACCACCATACTCTCCCGCGCGGGGGTCGCCAAAAAACGCCTCGCATGCTTAAACGAGATTCATAAGTTAGGAAACCTCAAAGAGGGCAGGTCGGTTGACATTTTGGGCTGTTCTTTACCGTTCCATAATGTGGCCTGCCTTATTTATTTCGGAGAGCCCCTCCCCCCCCCGCCACCTTTTTTGTGTCCATGGTTGGTTCCTGGAACGCGTGACTGGAAGAAAAATGTGTGCGTCTTCGCGCTTCGTTCTTCGGCCCATGGTCTTGTTTTGCTGGAAAACGCCACCCCTGGCTCGTTTCGTTAAATTATGCACTTGTAAAATTTTCGTCAAATTAAAATAAAATATGAAAAAGTTAAATCATAATGAACCTTTTTCAGGACAGGCACATTGCCCCAATACTATTCGACTCAATCCATTAAACCCTCCCTCTCCCTTTTTGGCCACCCCACCAACGGCCGATGGCCCGTTTTGGTGATATGGTGATCGTGCGCCTGGCAGCTTGGCTGCACTCCGCCTGATGGATGCTCGCCTGCATCGGTCGCCCAGACGGTGACCCCCTGCAGCCCTTTCTTTCACCCCGATGATGATTATTTTCGTTCCAAACCTTCCACATCAGCGTAATGTATTCATAATCGCTTTTCAGATAGTTGGATATCGGACTGCGGTGCGCGGCCAAAGATATATGATCAGCGCTCCTCTGCGTGGTATTTTTAGGGGAGAGAACATGGAACCGCCTTGGTATACCTAAATACAAATTTCTAACGACGAAATGCACCCATCGGCTTTTCATTTTTATTTGGGAAACGAGGAGAGGGGAGGGGGTGATGCCTAGTCGTAGGACAGGTCGAAAGGCGTTATGTTTGTATTTTTTTTCAAGTGTGTGGCAACCCTTTGCGCACTCTTGGCGTGGCGGCGGGGTCGCGTAACACTCGCGATCGTTTGTCCGAATTAAGTCGTGATTAATACTAGCAACCCCCTGTGGTCGTCCTGCGGTCCCCCGCGGGCCTCGGGGGTGGGGTGGGTTGGGCCCCGGCCGGCCCTCGCCCGGGCTGCCCCCCGCTGCCCGCACCACACCGCACCCCCTTCTCCGATATTGATGGATTCTCTAATTTAAAAGTAACATGCACGCGCCTCGGCCGGGGCCTGGCCGGGGGCCTAGCCCGGGCGCTGCGGACGGCCTCCCGCAGACTTTGCCCCACAACACACGACGCGCCCAACCCCCAGCAATGACCGCCCCCTCCCTACCCCACCTCCTGCCTGCCTGGACTCGCGACCCTTGAATTTTCTATTATTTATCGTTCGGCTGCTGGTCCGCGCTCACTCCTTTCCTGGAAGGTCACCTTGAGCAGCGGGCTAATGGCCGTGTCGATATGACCTCCGCTGCGGGCTCCGCTAACGACAGCCCTCCCCGGCGAGGACCGGCGGAGACGTGTCGCCTGCAGGCCAGAGACCCGCGACCATTAATTTGCAACGAGGACGCCTCGCGAAAATAAAGGGCGGCTAATTTGACGTGGCTTTTGTGCGCGCGGCGCTAGAGACGCTCTCGCTGCGAGAATAAGTGCCTCGTTTACCCACGCGGACACATGCAGCCCCGACCTCGCGCGCCCGCATCAAGCCGCACGTCATCCTTGGAGAACGGCTGTATATAAGCCAATTAAAGTCCCCCCGTGTGAAACACGCCTTTCTCCTGGTGACGGGCCGGGCGACGAAACTACCCCCTTTGCCGCCTCGACTAACGGACTAACGGCAGTCGGTAGGAGAGACAACTGATGATGGTCTCTCACGCGGTTTGTCGCTGTTCACAACAACACGTTGCCCCGCCCCGCCCCGCCCGCTCTCCAGGCCCCGCTGCGGCGCGGCCGGCTGCAGAGTATCAAACTGTGTGGAAACCCCGCGGCGCGCGTGGCCGCCATATTTCACATTAACTTTTCATTTTCCGTTTCCATCTGCTCCACAGTTTTTCTCATGCCTCTCCTCCCGCTCCTTCCCTCATAATTACGTTTCTCTGCTCGTTTGTCTGCTGCGCGGCGGCGGCGTTGGCCGGCCTACCCTTTACTTCCCCCCCCCCTTCCCCTCTTTTCCTCCCTTTCTCTTTCCCTCCCTGTTTTTTTCCCTTGAATTATTTTTAAGTATTTCCCCCCGTTTTATTTCCTAAAAATTATTGTGATGGAGGAGCGAGCGCGCGCGCCCTGGAGGACCGCATCGCATTTTCAATGTTTCTCATGTGAGGTGAGCTCGGCCACCACCACCACCACCGGCCGGCCGGTCGGTGGTCGACCCATTCGTGCCTCGGTCCCATTCACGCCACGGCGCTACAAAGTGGACCGGCCGCTGCGGCGTGGCGGGCCAATTTAAATCTCCGCCGACTCCTGATTTGTTCTCGCGCCAGGCGCAGGGCCGTGATGGAGGGGGGCTGTCGCCGAGAGAGGTGGAGAGAGGTGGAGAAGGGGGGGGGGGGGCAGCAATTTACACATTTTGACTCCCGACCAGTAAACTCCGTTACGGGGCAAATTCCGATTTGTGATCCCGACTGTGTATATAAGTCTCTCGACTAGGTGCTCCTGTGCGAGGCGAGGCGGGAGCGGTTTGGTTTGAATAACGCCCGTAGCGTGCCGCGTCGGCACTTCTCTGGCGCGCTCTGATTATCGTTCAAAAAGGTAATCACGCCCCTGAATTAGAATTAAAACATTGCAACGCGGCCGGCTCGAGAGAGGGAAGGGGGGGGGGGGGGACTGGCCCGGCGACCGCGCCATCACCACCACCCCCTGCTCCTCAACTAAGCAGGCTTTTTCGCTGTCGCACAAATTAAAAAATGTTTCGGGATTAATCTCCTTTTAAGAGAATGTTTACTCAGAAAAAAAAAACCGTGTTTGCAAAGTCTTTTGCCAGTTTCCCGTTTTTTGTGTTTTATTTTGGCTGCAGCCTGTAAACTTACAATTATGGAGGCAATAGAAGCCGTGGCAATAACTTATTTTAGCCTTTTTTTATCCCTACGAAATATAGCGACATGTCAGTGAGCTTGAGACCTGGGCGTGCACTCGGGCACGTCCTCGATGGTCTCGAGGCGGCTGGGCGCGAGGTGCAGCGAGTGCAGCGAGGACCGGTGTCGCCCCTGCACGCCCTTGCCGCCGCGCGCCTGCCAGGACGCCGCCGGCGGCGAGCCGTGGGGCCCACCGAGGGGCGCGCCGAGCCCCAGGGGCGGCCGGTACAGCGTCCTGCCCTGCTGCTGCTGCCCGCGGCTCAGCGGGCTCTCCCCCGCGGCCCGCACCGCCACCCTGACCCGGGGGGCGGTGCTCGGGGCGCGCGAGGTCGCCGTCGAGGTGGCGTCCGCGGGGCTCTCGCGTGGGCTGGGCGCGGAGGCGCTCTTGTCCGCGGCGGCGGGGGCGGCGGGGCTGGCGGGCCCGTCCCGGGTGGCGGGGGGCGCCCTCCTGATGCGCCGCGGGGTGGGAAGCGGCTGCGCCACCGCGGGGAGGGGCGCATCTACCACTGCCTCCCTGACCTGGACCTGCGCCTCCTGCTTCGACTGCACGTCTTCACCCTGTGAAAGACGCCAACAAATCCAATCTATGCGAAGAAATCACGAACAGACGTTGGATTGAACGGCAAACAGCCAGTATGAAGGAGGGTAGAAGGTATAGTAGGCTACTGGCGGGGTCGGGGTGGCGTGGCGTAGCTCCGTCCCGAAACAAAGTGCAGCGCAGGCGCAGGCGACCATGTTTTGTTTTGCCACAAGCTCGGACACAAGTGGATGTGTGATCATCGGCTCCCACTTCACGTAAGTTTTGCTGAATTTGAAAGCAAATTTGGGTCTGTATTGTATTCAGTTTGTATTCTCGAGTCAATGAATGGTTTTACAAATTTTGGCAGTGCGGAAATGAGTTAACATCTTTAAAAGTGTCCCGATGTCGTTGTGTAGGTTAGTATACGGACATCCCATTCAAACAATGCCCATTCAATTTGAATAACTGAACCACCGTTATGACCCCTTGAAAAAATTTATACTTTGGTTATTTAGATTTATAGGTCCGCTGTAAACAGTATAAAACCTTTTGCCATAACCTAACCTCTGCTAGACTTCCGCTCATATGTACTTGCTTGTTTAGGCACTGTGCTACGTCATGCCACCTCGCCAGCGTTGCCTTTTTCTTGTTCCTCTTGTCGGGCACCCTTCTTATGGTTGAATCATACTTTTGATAACGTATAAACCTACTTTTGACCTGCTGCGCCTCCGCGGCCGTCTGTTCGGTGCCTTGGCCTGCTTGGTGGCGCCCGCAGCCGGACGGCGTCGGTCTGCTCCCCCTGGAAGGTCGCCACCTGCGGGGACGCCCCTGGGTCCCCGGGCCGCGGCCGACCCCTCTCTGGCCAACGCGCGCCCTCGCAGCGCGTCAGCCTTGCAGCGCACTTTCTCTGCCGAGGACGCGCGTCCACGAGAACTAGATCGCGTTCGCGGAGCGTCTCGGGTGACGCCGGACGCCGGCCTGCCGCTCGCGGGGCGCGCCGGGCTGGACTTGGACCGCGCGCTGTTGCTGTTGCGCCCTGCAGCGCCAGGGGGAAGTCCGACCCCAACGCTTGGCTTCGCACTCGAGCGGGATCGCACTAGGGTGTAAATCTCAACGCTGTTGTCATTCTTATTGAACCGCCTGAACCACTGTTTCACTCAACGTCTCTTTTGCATTACCAGGGCGGTCATTGGACGGCTGTAGGCCAAGCTCATCGGCGTGCCCCCTGGGCCTAGGTGGCGGCCGCGGCGACTTCCTGGAGTCCCCGGCGCCCTTGTTCACCCGCAGCCCCGACGCTCCTAGAGCTCCCGGAGGCTTCCACGCGGGCGACCCTGCGGCGGCGCGGTCCAGCGTGGGCATGGCGTCGTGGGAGGCTAGAGGGCTCCGGCACGTCAGCTGCCGCCTGATGGGCTTGCTGGCAGGCCCGCTCAAGAAGGATGCTGATCTGGACAACGGCCGCGTGGTAGCCGGTCCTGCAGATCTAGTAGACCCAGAGAGCACCCCAGAGTCTCAGGAACAGAAGTTAAACCACGAAATTTAAATTCACCTAAAGGCTCACTTACACAGCTGTCTTCTCTGTAGATGATGGTGGTTTTGGTGTTTTGCTGGCGCTGCGTCGTGGTGATGGGGGCGTTCGAGCCGATCTGACTGTGGTAGCCGAGGGCGAGGACGAGGTGGGCGCTGCCGTGGTCATGTTGGTACGCGAGCGGTTGGCCCTGGTGGCCGTCGTCTTTGAAGGCTCCCGACGTGGCGTCGTCGGCGTCCTCGGGGTTGTCGGCGTCCTGGGGGTCATCGGCGTTCGCCTCGCGGACTGCGCCCGGCTGCTGGGGCGGGCGCCACCCTTGACCTGCGCTCCCTGCAGACCTCCCTGCGCCGACTGCGCCCTCTTGGCGGGGCGCTCCCGCTCGATTGGAGCGGAGACTGACATGCTGGCCGCCGCCTGCGTGCCGACCAACGAGCGCACTTTTGTAGGTACTATAACGGACCGCAGGCAGGTGTGTGGACGGGTTGCCTGTGCCCGGTCGGGGCCGTAAGGCGCCCTTGTCAACGATGATAGGCGAACCCGCAAACATGCCTGCATGTTGTATAGTAATACTATAAAAGTGTTCCGAGGACTAGTGAGGAATTTTCTTGGAATAAAGAAAATTAGGAAGAACATGTCTAAATGTCGCAGGTATTCAACAGCTTCTTGAGAACTCACTTCTTTTTGATTGTTTTTACAGACAATTTCTGAATGATGTGTGATGTTGTGGCATTTGTTCTTTCCGATCTTCTTTTTACCTACCGACTTTCTCATTCCGGCACTTTGCTGGAGTTATGTACTACATCGTCCATAGCTGCGGAGTGGCTCATGACGTATGGCGACAGGCGGACCGTTTTTGCATTTTTTTAAGAATGTTGCAGAGCCTGTTGGGGGCCGCACGCGGCGCCGCACCTTGACCGGCGGGCAGGGGAGCCTGGTGGACGTGCGGCTCGAGGACTGCGGCGTGCTCTGGGTGCTGCGCTTCAGGGAGCCGACCTGCGCGCCCTGCTGCTTGCCCGCGAGATCGCTCCACGTCGACGACAGACTCGGCGTCATCGTCTCGGATGGAGACTTCTCGTCGATATGGCTGTGAAGAGGTGGCACGAAGTTTGTGTGGGAAACAATCCAGGTATGGAAACGACGGTGGCAGGTGTTAACCTTCTGTAGACCAGACACGTGGAGGGCACTCCCTCTAGCGGGGCTGCCCTTCCGGCGGGGACGGCGGACGGCCGGGAGGGCTTCGAGGTTGGCCTGCTGGACGGCCTGCTGACGTCGCCGGCGCCCAGGTTCACCCTGGTCTGACTGCGCTTGGACGGAGCGCTATGCGGCGCCGACCGCGGAGGTCCTGGACCCGAGGGCGCGGAGGGCGGCACCTTGGTCTGCGCAGCCTGGGCGCCGCCATCTTGGGCCTTTCCTTCGGCCGTCACTCGCTTGAAGAAAGATGGCACCGCGACGTGCGAGTATGAGATGGCGACGCTCAACACATTGAGCAAAAACTGAACTCCCTAATGAGAGGCAACATGTACCTGCGCCCCCACCGCGAGCGCCTGCCGCAGCTGTTTCTTGACCCGCTGGTCGTGCTGCTGCCAGGCGCGCAGCTGGGACGTGCGCTGCAGCTGCAGCTCCTTGAGGCGCTGCTGCGTGCGCAGGCGCCGCTGCATCGACTCGAAGTCGCCGGCCTGCTTGGCCCCGGGGCGCGGCGGGGGCGGCGGCCGCGGGGGGCGCCTGGCTCTCACCTGCACTGCCGCGCGACAACGGGGACGTATATCAGGGCACGTTTCTACGCAGTTCATAGTCTCTGCGCAAATCGTGTCGTTTTGAGTTTATGTTGTAGCCGTTTCATTCTTTGTCAGGGGAAAGTCGGCCCGAATCTCTCTCGACACTCCTACGTGCTGACGCACGGGCTTGCTGGGTCGTTGCGGCGGCGCCGCGGTGGGCCTCGGGACGCGCCGCTGCTGCAGGCGCCGCTCGCGGGCCAGCTGCTTCAGCATGGCCGCCTCCAGGATGGCGTCGTGGCTCGGCTGCCGGCGCCGCCTCCTGGGGCGGGCGCGACGCGGCTCCGCCGAGGCCAGCGGTCGCGGGTCCGAGGCGTGCGCCTGCGCGTGCAGCGCCTGCCACTGCCGCAGGGCGGCCAGCTCCGCCAGGTCGCGCTCCCGCCGCCGGACCACCGCGGTCCGCCGCCGTCGCCGGGGGTGCCGCCGGTGCCGGTGGACCGCCGCGCCCGGCCGCGGGGCACCGCGCCGGTGGCGCCGGAGCTCCACTGCGGGTATCGGAAGGGGACAAGCTCTAACATGGCTAGGGCTCTGGAGCAACAGGTGTATCGCGGGCAGCCACCCTACGCACGGCGCATGCTGGCGGGCAGGCCGAGGCCCAGCAGGCTCGAGGCCTCATCGTGCTCCGTCACCAGGTAGCGGGGCGGCGGGAACGACACGCGCCGCCCCCCGAGGCCGAGGCCGAGGCTGAGGCCGTGGTGGCCGCGACCGGGCGGGCCTCGCTCGTGTGGCAGGAAGGGCGCGCACAGCGTCATCTGGTGGGAGTCATTGCAGTTGTGTGAGGCCCTCGCCCTCCCGCTCTCCCCGATATCGTGCCAAAATCTGTATCAAAGTTACCGCGCTACACAGCCTCAGTGATCCACCTAGCGACGGTGCGGTGTGGTCCCGTGGGACGCGCGAGCGTCATGGCTGGGGTTGGGACGGCCCTGCGCACGGCAGGGGCAGGGCGGGCAGGCGGGGGCTGGGGGATCCTCTGTCCTTGTCTGGCTCAGGTCCCACCGGTCCTACCACACGCGCCCCTTCCCGCCGGGGCGGCCCACCCTGACCATTGTTACCCGGGAAACCAAGCTCTCTGCCTCGGTTTCGTGGTGGAGCGGGTTGGCAAAGTGGCGGAGGCTTGTTTACCCGATTTCGTCGTCCTTCCCCCGCCTCGGTCCGGCCGCCCTTCGCCATCCGGCCCCTATTCCCGGTGTCCCCGCCCCGCTCCTCCCGAGCTCCTGGTGGCACTCATCGCGCTGCACAGTGTAGTTCGGCCTAATTTGACCGAGAGGACCCTTGAGTTCGTTAGGCAGCTTTGTTCATTTCCTTGCCGTTATTCCGTCGAGGGTTGAGGGGGCTCCAGTGAAACGAATCATTCTACTGTCCAGCCAGACGACGGAGTGGGACCCAGGCCAGGAGGACGGATTTATTTTCAGCACTTCGTTCGTTCATTGAACCCGCCTTTTGCCCGGTTCGAAATAAACGAATCTCTCTTTCTGCATGCGAGTCTCTCGCGGGCGTTCGTATCGCGCCAGTGCGGTATATTAATATTTCGAGTCGCCCCGACTTGTGATGAATTGGGTTTGGGTGCACGGACTGGCCGGGCCGGGCCGGGACCCCACTCAGCCCTCGGGAACCTGAGTGCCATGGAGAATGAGGTGCATGAGGGTTGGGCCTGATCCAGGCTCCAGGCCGGGGGTGTATGGGACGGGACGGACGGCACAATAATTTACGACCCGTTTTTGTCGCGGACCGGGAGGGACAATTTGACACAATGCACGGACGCAGAGCGTCCCCCGCCACGCCCCGCCACGCCCCGCCACGGCCTCGGTGGGAACCCGTGGACGGTGCGCGCAGGTGACTCGAGGGTGGCCGCTCGGCGAAGTGCGCGACGCGGTGACGGGTGACGCTCTCTGGCCCCGCTCGGGGCCTCGCTCAGGGCGCATGGAGTTAGCAAGAGCAGCTTACATCCGTCCCCGTCGTCGACGAGTACAATTCTCTCATGTCGATATTCTGTGCCCCGTCCTCCCTTTCTCTTGTCGCCGGGACTGCGGCGCCTAATACGGCAGGCGCATCGACAACCGGTTTCCGCCTCCGCCTCTTGTCATGCTCATCCCGCGTACGAGCGTACCGTACGCACTGCGACGCGTTCTAATTGGTGGCCGAGCCCGCGAGCAAGACGCCAGCTCTACTCGGCCTCCACGCACAGGCGACGTCGCGGTCGCATTGTCCCCGGTGCTCAGGTACGCCCCCTCGGCGCGCAGGTCAGGGACACCCTGGGGACACCCTGGGGACGACGACGGCGGGCCGAGGCGTCATCAGCACAATGGCCCCAATGGGTCCACCACCGATCCCGGGAATGAAAGCGCCTTTCTCTTTGCGTGAAATCCGCTTTTGTTCTTGGCACCCAATGTTGTGCATTGTCGTCGCCGGAGTCAGGCCGTCATTTGGGCGCGTCTCCACACCTGGTGTCACCCTCTGGTCGCGCTGCTCGCACAGTCCGCACGAAAAACCAGTCATGAAACGGCCGGTTTTGTTTGGACTCAATGGTCTCTGTTGTGTGTATACACGCAAAATGGTTGAATACGCTTCCGCGAAAAGTTGCACGGTGATGGATAGAAGAGTGTGGTGGCTCGCTTTCGTTTTCACCGGACGAAATCGCGAGTTTGGACAAGCGGGGTCAGTCTTTGACTTGTTTATGAGGGTTGCTCATTAGCGAAGTGCGGACAACATTTTCGTGTGTAGCTATTTGAGTATACTTACATGCACCTTTTTTACTCATGTACGGATATTTTCTAACCCAGACGTCCTTCAGGCGCGGATTAAGGTGCGGCTGACAAGGGGGGGGGGTGTAATGTAGATCTACATTCTACCTTAGGGGGGGGGGGGGGCACTACCGGTTGCTTAATGCCTACATTCAGGGTTTTGTGGCGCAGATCGCCTACCTTTTAGACGGCTCTCTAGAGGCCACAGCGGGGGCGATCGCCCCCCCTCCCTAATCCGCGACTGACGTCCTCGGTTACTCTAATTTAAATCGTGTAACAGCGGCCAGTACCGCGGATC